AGCAGTCACGCTACATCCCATTAAGCGGCCATCCGCAATGCGTCGAATCCATGTTCACAATCTTGCACTGCGACTTGCTACACTGCAATCTACACGAATCGCTTTGCGAAACGAGTTACCGGAACACAAGCCGATCTCTCTGACACGACATATCCCCAGTTCTGCTCGAGATCTCTTTCACTGGGATTTCATTTCTTCCAACAACATACTGTTTTGTGCTGGCCAAGTAAACTGTCCAAGACACACTGTCGATTTGAGTATACGCACCGCACTCAATGAAATTATCGCACAGGTATCATCATTTCGGTCCTTGTATCAGTATTTTACTTCTTTCAAATCGAATTATGTTATAACTAACTGGCTTTTCCAAAAAATTGTTAGTGACGAGTGTAATATTGGCTGAACCAGTATAGTTGTGAAGCGTGAAAACGGGACAGTCTAAAAACTACTAAAATACGGGTCCGGCTATAAACATGGTCTGGGATCCTATTGACCCGGAGTGAGGCTAGAAATTTATTATGATGAATTAAAGGAGAAAAAAAGAACGGGATTATAAGGCTAAGATCATGTGGCATGAAGCCGCATGCATTGTTGTAAAGTCACCTATAAAGGAATATGTAGGGAAAAATCTGTATTTTATCCCTTAGCTGTAAACACAGGCAATAGTCGAGCGTGGTTAGATGTAAAAAAGTCAGGTAGTAAGGTCAAAAGTCAAAACCGACTTCCATATTTCGCTCCTAGTAAGGGACGGAGCACCCGGGAAGTAACGCGAAGAGTAGAAATTGCCAACTACCCGCTGACAATACTGTTTTGATGGCTCCGTCTTCTGAGTGTTATTTACAAGCGCTAATGGTGATATTGGCTTTTTTGAGATAATTGGGGGCTTTGCAACTCACATTTGGAATAAAACCGAATTACTACTAAATTTTTTTTGCTTTTGCTAAGACGGTACCATAGTACGAAGGGGAAAATTAGCCATTTTGCCCCCTTTTCTAGCAAATCGCGCCTAGGAATGCAGTAAACGTGAACTAAAAGGAGAAAGGTGCTACAAATTACAAAAATTTTTGGCGCATGTAAAAACGATTGTAACGTAATTTTTTAAGAATCAGTCCGAAATAAGGGTATGTCACTTAGATTTTAAGCGAGCATGAGGATATCTATCAAACATATAACGTGCTGATAGCTGTGCTCATGGGAACTCCTCTGTTTTCTAATAAGTACGACGTAATTTTTTAGCTCTTTGATGAATTCAATGCGAATGCACGGCAGCGTGGACGAGTGCTACAGTTCCAGAACATTCAGTACGGCTATATGAGGGTCGAGCCACGATTCGGCGTTGATTATGTGCTCGATATGATATTATGGTTCAAAAAGTTTCGCCCTCCGCATAGGTCTGATTTCAAATAAATTTGACTGACTGAAAGGTCACGCAGCTTATCATTATGAATAAGGGGTCATGGAGAGGACAAAAAATTGGCCAACGCACGGGCTGCCCGTGCGAAGATGCGTTTTTTGCAGAGTTCCCTGCAG